TCTATCTATCTATCTATCTAATTATTAGCAATCTGGTTTTGTCTCTCTAGAGAACCCTGTCTAACACATGACCTTCTCAGAGTTGTTAGTGGCACCTGGGTACTGTCTAGCTCTTCTGATTTTCGGGTTCTGGGAGCTAAGGTTGGTGTGATCCCATTGGACGAGTGGTCTCCATGCATCTCTTACCAACACTTCTAAGAGGGTCCCAGGGACACTCACGATCCCTTGACATACTTCTTCAATACACAATCAAAACACTTTTGGAAATGGTATACACTCTCTTACTTACTCTTAGAAGATTTATAAGATGCTATGGTAAGGAATATTGTATGTTTCTAAGCCCTTGTGGACAATGGCCAGTGTACAGTTCTCCTTTTTTTCTGAAAACGAATGGATGAATAAACTCTCACCATTGATACTGATGCATAGTATTGCCAAGTTCTGAGCATTCCATGTCAAGAAGAGATAAGAATGTAACCTGAAACAATGCAGGTGCCACCTCTCCGAAGTGCATGAATTTTGAACTTCAGCAACACAAGGCATTGCTTTAAATACTACCCAGAATTATAGGCTCTCTAACTTATAAGCAAATATATTCCTGTAAAGCAGCGGTTCTCAACCTGCGGATGGCGACCTCTTTGGGGGTCGAACGACCCTTTCACAGGCGTCACCCGAATCATAGCAGTAGCAAAATTATAGTTATGAAGTAGCAAGGAAAATAATTTTATGGTTGGGGGGTCACCACAACATGAGGAACTGTATTAAAGGGGTAGGCATTAGGAAGGTTGAGAACCACTGCTGTAAAGGCAGATTGCCACTTGAGGTCAAGATTATCCAAGTAGAATATTCTTCTGACTTTGATGCATACCGAGCAAACATATGACCCCAAGTTTGTGTTTGGGCCGGGTTCGGACTAGGCAGCCTCCATATCCTCTCCGGCTCCTGAGGAAGATAGAACTTCAAGGCCCCCATTTCCAGCCTCTCAGGAGGATGAATGACCTATTGAAGACTGCATCTTCTGCCCCAACATTCCAAGGAACTTATCTCTCCAGACCAAGGTTGTGCAGCCCCTGTCCCAGCATTCCAGGGAGTAGGCTGGCAAACAACAAAGGCACTTCCCCGATCTGATCGCATCCTGACTCAAGGTCCTGCAGCTGCAAGCAAAAAAATCTCCCTTCTTGTTGTCAATGTACAGCTCACTAGTTTGAGCGCTGTACATCTCCCACTGCCCCACCGACAAGCTGAGATTTCCCTGACCTACCTAGTTG